GCAACTCCTTAATTATTTGTATATTAATATATAAAACATAAATAGATATTTTACAACATGGTGTTTATTAACATATTTCATGATATCATGGTTAGTACAGGTTATAGTACTTTCTTCACTGCCATACATATTAATACCATTTGCACTAACAACAACTATGGTTGGGCTACTGCCGGTGTTTACTCACCTCATAATAGGCAAAACTCATATATTTGTATAAGACCAGTATAAAATTTCATCAAAAATCAAATTTACAATAATTTGAAAAAAGTTGTGCTTTGCATGCACAAAGTCAATCATATATTTTAGAAAAAATGTATACAAAAAGCAAAGACTATTTCTTTGAATTTGTGTGTCCATTCAACACTAAACAACGCTTCTTCGTGTTTAACTACTATTGAACCCCCTTTCCTCTCTAATTCCTCTTAACCATAAAGAAACAAAAGTTTATAAATATAGAAACAAAAAATTGTACTTCACTGATTGCCCTTTCGTCTTGATGCAGCAAAACTATGGAAGCATAAGTTCGCAAAACAGAAAATTGTCAACATATAAATCACACAAGCACCCAAACTAGCAATATGAATAGAAAATAAGGCAACAATTTCTATACTATATCACACACCTTCTCATGTGCACATTCAACAGCTCTTTCGTGTGTCTCGAACACTTACCATAAGATCATTGTGTTATACACAGCTTTTGTTTGTATTAATTGTTCTACAAATCAAAGCTGATTGTGCTTTTAACTGGCTATTTACCATGAAATCATGGTACATGGTCCATTCTTTTGTTCTGCATTCGCAATCTTTGTATTATTTGTCTGTGGCGCAAGTTTACAAACTTTAAAATATGCCCTAAGAATATGTTACAATTTTAAATGCAAGCACTTTTGACTTTGCATATTTTATGTTTTAGTTATCTTATTTATTAGATGCGGAAAGGCTTCTACAAAAATACCGAGAGAGCAGATCAAAGCTTAAAATGACAATTATTAGGAGTAAGAACCAAGTTTTCAAACTCTGATCAATGATGTAGACCAAAATGTCTGGGGCGACGGTTATAAAATAATAATGCGTAAATTTAAGATATTAAGAGGCTCGGTACTTTCGTGTCCTAAAATAATGGCGAATATCTTTAAACACTTGTTCCCAAAAAAGGGAGAACTTAGAATCTTAGTATCGATAAACACTGAATTAAACGAGATCCAGAGTTAAACCCAATAAATGTCCTAGATTGGATGGAATTCCCAATACCGTATTGAAGAAGGCAATACTAAAACAAGCTGCTATATTCAGGGATGCATTCAACAGCTGCCTACAAGCAGGAATTTTTCCTTCGTGTTGGAAAAAGCAAAGATTGGTGCTTATTCCTAAACATAATAAGCCCTCAGAACTTCCATCGCCTTACAGACCTTTATGCCTACTGGACACTTCAGATAAGGTCCTGGAAGGAATTATATGTTCTAGATTAGAAAAATTCACGGAGGCAAGGCAAGGTTTGTCAAATAACCAATTTGGCTTTAGACCTAAAAGTTGTACTATTGATGCTATATTACATGTATGCAACATTGCAAAGGAAGCTACTAAGGGCTTAAGGTGGCTAGGTTGTACAAAAAAATACTGCGCGGTGATGACCTTAGATATTAAAAATGCTTTAACGCTGCTTAGTGGAGTAGTATCTTAAATGCACTGTTGAAAATAAAAGTCCCAGAATATCTTTTAAAAATAATTATATCATAACGTATAATATTACGGGAGGGGTTCCCCAGGGATCAGTTCTAGGGCCGATTCTTTGGAATATCATGTACACCATCCTTCGAATTGAAAAGCCGGACGGAGTAAACGTAGTTGGGTATGCAGATGATATTGGACTAGTAGTGGTCGCAAAAACTCTAGATGAAGTGGCTAGGAATTGCAACGCTACTACTGCAGCAGCTAAATCGTGGTTGTAAAACAACGGATTAGAGCTCGCTGAGCATAAAACTGAGGTGCTGTTAATCAGCAGTAGGAAACGGATTGAACAACTCTCAATTAAAGTGGGTGGCGTAGATATGCAATCTAGTCCCCAACTTACGTATATTGGTGTTACCCTTAATAGTCGGTGATGCTGTATGCTGCACCTGTGTGGGCGCATGCTACAACCATAAAGTCGTATTCACGCTTAATGAAAAGCGCACATAGATTGGCAAACCTACGCATTTGCCGTGCTTACCGTACAGTATCGGATGATTCTGCGAGAGTATTGACAGGACGTATGCCAATAGACCTTGAAGCGCTCTTGGCCAGGGACAGCTTCTTCCTGCGTTCTCGTCTACGAATGAATGAAACTCAGCAATCTCTGCCACATAGAAATAGAAATAAGAGACAAATATTTTAATGAATGGCAACATAGGTGGGACCATTCCCAAAAATAAAGATGGACGCATTCCTTAATTCCAAATATAAAAGTTTGGATTAACCGAGGATCTGGAGAACTGGGATTTCAATTAACGCAGTTTTTTACGGGGCATGGCTGCTTCCGTGAATACTTACACCGGTTCAGGCTTGCAAGTAATCCGTACTGCCAGTTTTGTCCAAATAAAATTGAGAGCCCCAACCATATAATTAGAGACTGTATAAGATTCGCTGATACTAGACAAAAGCTGGAGACTATAATTGGGAAAGCCAGCCCTCCTACTGTAGTAATGCAGATGTTGGCAAGCATTGAAGAATGGAGTCTCTATAAGAGCATAATATCTAGAATAATAAACACTGTTAGAGCGGACGAAATACTTAGTACACAATCGGAGTAAAAACAAAATCGGAGTAAATAGTTTAAAATATTTTAGAATCTAATTATTTTTTATTTGATTCATTTATAATAATATCAGACATTTTGATTCTTACAACCTTTTATTACATGCAGGACGATATACATTGTACTGCAAATGTCCAATATTTTTCACCCGACAGTTCCGATGATGAGGAGTTCATCATGAAAACCAACAATTGGTGCAACAAATTGTTTGATCCTCGAAAAACCAATTATTATCACATATTTTATGATGGACGATACCTTACTGAGAGGGATGAGTTGGTTGATATTCGCACCTGTGACGAAATCACTGAGCAGGAAACCGTCCGAAAGGAAAATGTCCACTACAAGACATTTCAAGAGAGAAATGAGGAGTTGCAAAATGTCTCCTATTTCTCCAAGAACCGGAAATTGGCTCATTCTTATACCGGATATTTACTTGATCGAACAAAAAGGTTGCGATTCTGATGTTATTATTACATTTACAATGTTAAGAATGTTTTTTAAAATTGCATGAGTCTTTTATTTAATATACTAAACTTAGATATTAATGATTCTATCTTTATTAAAAATAATAAATCAGCATGATTGTTAGATATTTTCAAATTTCTTATAGTTTACATTTGGTTGTTGACATTTTTCTTTGCTTTCTTATCCAAAACTATTAAAATCAGTATATAATAAATCAGTATGTTTCACAAAATTACATGATTGTTTAGATATTGTTTATATTTTCTATTTATGATTCTTATTTTTGTTTTAACATTTTTCTTTGCTCATTTTTATATTTGACTGTCTTTACCTATTTTTAATTTTACAATTAATGACATATATAACTTTATTATATTACTAACATTATATTTACACATTTCTTACCACAAATATAGTATTAAACTACTCCAGTAAACTGTACTCCTAAATAAGTTGATGTTAAAGTAGAATTATTATATTGCATAGGTTAAGGTGGTGGTAACGGTGTTGGTTGTGGTGTGGTACATTAGGAGTTGTGTTTGTATACTGCACAGTTGGTGCTTGCACCGGTGGTAGTGAGGGTGGAGGAAAATTTTGTATAATTGATTGTAAACTTGGAGTTCGCTGTAACGTACCTTCTGCTTAAAAATTACCCGAATTTTGTTAACTACTCCCTCAGTAATAGACCTTTTTTGTTTTTTGATATGTTGGTACACCCTTTCTTAACATATGGTAGAAATTTGAGCGCCATCTGTCAATTAGTTTGTTTACAGCTGCTGTTAATGTGAGACTACCTCAAGTGCATTTAGCGATTTTTACTATAGAAAATTCAGTTGAACAACGAGTTTGTTTGAAATTTTGTGTTTTGAACGAAATTTTATGTGTTGAAGCATTGAAAATGATGCAGAAAGCTTATGTGGTCTCTTCTATGTCTCGAACACAGACATACGAGTGGTATAAATCATTCAAAAAGGGTCGTGAAGTGATCGAAGATTTGCCTCGTTCTGGACGTCCATCAACATCAAATACCGAAGAAAACGTAGCAAAAAACATGAAAATTGTGCTGGAACATCGTCGTATAACTAAAAGGGAGATTGTTTGTGACTTAAACATCTCAAATGGATCCGTTCATCATATTCTACATGATATATTTGTTAAGTTTAACAAACCTAACATATTTTAGCTCGCTTGTAATCAAACTTATGCAGCAAATAAATATTGTAAATATTAAATACATTGTTTACGTTTATAAGTTCAATAGCTTCACATATTGTATTTATGCTTATGCAGCAATATGTGAAATTTAAATTATTATTTTAGTCATCAATAATTGTAAATATTATTATGCTTAGTAAGTAATTCTATACTATATAAGGTAACAATATTGATAATAAAACTTGAGAGCGAAAACAATCGTCTTTCCTTCAAAATCAAAATTTGGTTATTGGTAGATGTGCCTTTTAACCACTGTAGCAATAAATAAAAATTATTTACTTACTTGGCTAGCGGTTTATGTGCTTGCAAGCCTTTCGTCATAAATACCTGATTATTGGTTTATGTGCCTAATAGTCAGTGTAACGAAGTAAGAAAATACATTATTTGATACCACCTCAGATTACGTGGTATTCATTGGTGACCCCGACGTGATTGGCAAGAGCAACTCAGTGTGAGCCAGCAGCGTTTACAAAAAACCTTCATTGAAAACAACTTTTTTCAACGGAAATACAATAACCATGGATCCAAAATCAATATCCACTTTAACTGACCAGCAGGATTCAATTGGTTCAGAGATCGACAGAATCATTCGCAACTTCAAGAAGAACTCACCCAGCAGGAAAACACGTCAATATCTCGAAGATCGTAAAACAACTTTAGAACAGTTATTAGCTGACTTCAAGGCTAATGATGAGCAACTACAACAAGCCGATGTACTAGCAAGAACATCGGAATATTCCACACAAGATTACGGCATGGTAATCATAAATTTGGGTAACAAATATATCACCACAATAACTCAAGAGCTGGAAGCATTACCCATTAAGGCTCAACCATCAACAATAAAGGGGTTGGACCTTCAGATATATAATGATGTTGAAGCTCCTGAAATAGTATTACCTACTGGTGGTCAAGAGAATGAAATTATTCAGGCATTAGTCAACAGACGAAATGCAGTGTGTAAATCAATCAATCGTCTCATCCACAATGTGAGACAAGATAACCAGCAACAGGTACCACAATATTTTGCAGTAAAATTAGCTACGCTTACCAAGTTATGGGATCAGGCTGAAGGTTTAAATTTTACTATTCAGGAACGGCAAGACAACCCTCCTGATTGCAATTATTATCTAGCACTGGAACAGTTGGTGCAAGATACAATGGTGGAATGGACTAGTAAGTCGACCAAGATTGAGACATCAATTAGGTCAACTTATCAACCATCGGCTACTTTGCCAACAATATCTCTTCCAAAGTTCAGTGGAGATTATTTGAGTTGGCGACAATTCAGTGATCTGTTTGCACAACTGATACACAATCAAGGAATATCAGACTCACAGAAACTCTGGTATTTGAAAACCAATATTCAAGGCGAAGCTGAAGCACTCATCAAGCATTTGCAAATATCAGATGCAAATTATGAGACGGCATGGCAATTACTACAAAGTAGATATGAGAATAAAAGAGTTCTAGTATCAGCAGTTTTGCAACGTTTGACAGCTCAAAACTCTTTATATGACCATCCAACAGTCCAAGCCATCAAAAATATGCATGACACAACAAAGGAAAGTCTATGTGAACTTCATAATTTAAATATTGAAACATCAACTTGGGATCCAATTTTAGTTCACATACTATTAAAAAAGTTGGATAAAAATACACATTGCAGTTTTGAACAAACTCTTACTAACCCAAGGGAGATGCCCACAATAAAACAATTCTTAGAATTTTTAGAATTGAAATTTCAGTCACTTGAGGCTATAGGTCTACGAGACAATGCAGTATTTAAACCCAACAAAAGGATAGCCGTAACTATGGTTTGTTCAGATCTATGTAAAGTTTGTAATACAGATAAACATCCGATCTACTATTGCAAAAAATTTATTGAAATGACTCCTCCTGAACGATTAAATTGGATTCAACGACAAAAACTATGTGTGAATTGTTTCAAATCCGATCATAAAGCAAAGGTTTGTGAAGCTGGATCATGTAAAAAATGTGCCAAGAAGCATAACACTTTGCTTCATTTAGAGCAACAGTCACCTAAACCTTCAAGGGCACCAGCAACAAACACAAAGTCTACCAGAACATTGATCAACGCTAATGAATCGCCATCCATTACAGCAACAACTAATGCAAAGTGTACTCGTAATTACGTTCTGCTAGCCACTGCAAAGGTGCGCATTATTGCAAACAATGGACGAACGTGTGATGTTCGTGCCATACTCGACTCAGGTTCTCAAGTGAACCTAGTAACCCAAAGAGTAATCAACAAGTTATCTTTAATTACCACAAATTCAAATCTATCGATCGAAGGTATTGGCCGTCAATTCGGGAACTCAAAATCCCGCGTAAATGTTGAACTGCAGGCTACTAATGGAAGCTTCCGGACGAGACTAGAGGCATTTGTATTGCCACAAATAATATCAGCACAACCGTCACGAGACCTAGATATCTCGGATTGGCAGTTCCCACAGAATGTAGAATTAGCAGACCCCAGCTTTAACAGATCTGGAAGAATTGACATGCTGATTGGTGCTGAATTCTATCATACTCTACTTCAACCAGAACAATTGACAATAGGAAAGAATTCGCCACTGTTACAAAATTCGGTTCTAGGTTGGTTGGTGGTTGGTAAGACTAAAACTACAACAGATATTAAACCAACATGCGCTATTACTACAGGAGAGGTTGGTGAAATGTCAGAAACGATTTTGGAAGTTAGATAACATTGAGACTGCAGAAAGGGTTTTGACTTTATCTGAGAAATGGTGTGAAAATTACTTTACAAATCATGTAAAGACAAATCACGATGGTCGTTTCATTGTACGCTTACCTTTCCGCGATGATCCCACAACACTTGGTAGATCGCGTGAGATAGCATTCAATCGATTTTGTTCTCTGGAAAGGAAGTTACAAAGGCACCCAAATTTATACAAGGAGTACATAAAATTCATGGATGACTACGAGTCATTAGGTCACATGGAAAAAGTTTGCCCGAAAGATGTCAAGGGAGCACAATATTTCAATCCTCATCATTGTGTCTTAAAACCTGACAGCACTACAACCAAATTGAGAGTTGTCTTTGATGCATCAGCAAAAACATCAAGCGGTTTAGCACTAAACGATATTTTGCACAAAGGTCCAACAGTGCAAAGTGATCTTTTTTCAATATTGTTGCGTTTTAGAATACACCGGTTTGTATTTACGGCTGATATTGAGAAAATCTACCGGCAAATTCAAGTACATGATGAAGATACAGCACAGCAGCTGATAATCTGGAGAAAAAGTGCTGATGATAGTATACAATATTACCGACTGAAAACGGTTACATATGGAACGAAGTCAGCCCCTTATCTTGCAACAAAATGTCTTCAACACCTTGCGAAACATAATATGACCAACTATCCGCTTGGAGCACCTGCATTACTTAATGATTTTTATGTAGATGACTGTTTAAGCGGAACTAACAGCATCATTACCGCCTTAGACACTCAACAACAACTTATGAAACTGCTCAGTAAATCAGGATTTAAACTGAGAAAATGGTGCTCAAATAATACACGACTCCTACAAAACATTCCGATAGAAGACCAAGAAATCAACCTTGATTTAGATGACTCAGCCATAAAGCCAACAAAAACATTAGGCATTATTTGGCTCCCGAAATCAGACGAATTTTGCGGTAAGGCAGAGATGTCATCAGAACAACCTATCACGAAGCGGATTGTGGCATCGGACTTAGCTCGAATTTTTGATCCTTTGGGAATTTTTGGCCCCATTACTGTAACAGCTAAAATATTCATGCAGGAATTGTGGCAACAAAACTATTCCTGGGATGCGGAACTGTTACCTCAGGCTCAGCTAGAATGGAAGCGTTTTAGAAATGACTTACAAACATTAAATACTGTCAAAGTACCCAGACATATTTTTAATTCAACGGTTACCTGTTCGATTCAATTACACGTGTTTACGGATGCATCAGAGAAGGCATATGGAGCAGCTATGTACGTGCGAGCAATATATAATGATAAGACAATAACATCGAGACTATTGTGCGCCAAATCTAGAATAGCACCATTAAAGAAACAGACACTTCCACGACTAGAACTCTGCGCAGCATTGCTGGGAGTCGAATTAGCAGAAAGAGTTAAACAAGATTTAAAGTATCAAAACGTGCCAACCTACTTTTGGTCCGATTCCAAAATTGTTTTGTCATGGATAATATCTTCATCTGCCTCATTGCACACATTCATAGCAAATCGTATTAGCAAAATTCAAGAGATGTCACATGCTGATCAATGGCATCATGTGGCGTCAAAGGATAATCCTGCTGACATCATTTCCAGAGGAATAAAAGTTAAAATGTTCAATTATTCACATATATGGTTTTTTGGTCCACTCTTCCTTCATGGACGCAACGAATTTTGGCAACAGCCAAACCTAAAGGCATTTAACATCTCAACTGATATCGAAAGACGACAAGGACATACAGTTAACATTATCATTCAAACGACTGGTTCTGATCACATGATAAATCAAATTGATCATCGATTCAGATACCTCCAAAGAACAATTGCTTATGTTCGCCGTGTATTTCATCGCACACAATCACCAACAAGAACACTTTCTCCAAAAGAATTACGAGATGCATTAGTCTTCATAATTAAAACTATTCAGGGCTCAGAATTTGCAAAGGAAATCTCTGATTTAAAACAATGTAAAGCAGTCAACAGTTCGAGTCAACTAAATACTTTAGCACCGTTCATTGACAAACAAGGTGTACTTCGTGTTGGAGGAAGGCTTGAAGCATCAACATTGCCATATGATGCTAAACACCCAATGGTAATTCCTTACAATCACTCAATAGTGAAATTGATGTTCAAAATGAAACATGAAGAAAATTCCCATTGTGCTCCACAATTATTGCTAAGCATAATGAGACAAAACTTCTGGCCGATTAAAGGAAAGATTATGGCGCGAAACATTGTTCACAGCTGTGTCATCTGTTCAAAGGCAAAACCAAAACTGATGGACCAACTCATGGGCAACTTACCGACTGATCGAGTTA